GTAGGAGGTTGGGAGCTTAACTGCTAAGCTATGGAACCCAAACCTCTATTTTTTTCTTTGTAATTTTAATAATATCATACTATATAAAAAAAAAATATTTTTGCTATATAACAATATAAAAATTTTTATATAATAAGGTAAGTATTTCTATTTTGACACAGCTAATCTTGCACAATAGCAAGTTTTTATTGAATTGGTGTAAAACACCCGAATTTTTTTTGAATTTGATTTATTTCGGTTTAAAGTAAGCATTTGTATAAAAAAATTTTTTTTCTAATAAAAAAAAGTAAATCCTAATTATAGTAACATAGATCCTTTCAAAATCACAATCATTAAGAGATCATCCTAATTTGACGCACTGAAATAAGGTTGGTAATTTTTTTTTTTTTTTTTTTTTTAAATCGATTTATACTTACTTTTTCGTCCCTATACACTCCATATTTTCTTTTTTTTTCCTCTGTGCTTCTTGCTTCTGTGCCTTTTTGGCTTCACGTGCTGTTCGCTTTTGAATGGCCACTTCTTTTTTACGTTGCTTCTCGTTAACTATTCTTTCTGCCTCCTCCTCCGCTTCTTTTAATTGTTTTAACAATTCTTCGTTGGTCGAAGCCGAGAAAAAGGCATAGTTTTCCTTTTTTTTCTTTTTGGAGGTTGGGCTCCAGATTGCTCCTTGTCATCTTCCGGATCTTCAGTTGGTAGGTTGGGGCGCAAGGGATATTTAAGTATCTTCCACAAAGGACTTGTACCAGGGTTATTGAGGGTTTCAAGTTCTTCTTTCAATCGTTCAACCCTTTCATTTAACAACTTAATTTCTGACAATAGCTCTTTTTTAGTAGGGTTTGCTTTGGTGAGGCATGTATAAGTTGGAGCTAACTCTGAAGTTCGTGAAGACAAAGAAGATTGTGATGAAGACGAGGAAGACTGTGATGATAATGATGAAGATGAGAAGGACTGTGATGATGATAATGGTGAAGACAAGGAAGCTGATTGCTCAAGGACTTGTGGAATATTGGTACGTAATGAAGGATCTAGATGATCAGGACCAATTGCACTAGAGTTTAATGGCCAAATTCCAGTGGTCTTGAAGGCATTGCATATTGCAGTAGGCGTATAGGCCACAATATAGGATAGTTTAAATAATTCAGCAAATGTGTACTTTGTTACAACCTTACTATTGTTGTTAGTTTGAAACCTCTCACACTCTTTATCATATGCTTTTTTTAATGTAGCAAATGGTAATTCGGCTGGCTGTAGAATGTGAGTGGTATAGGGGAAAAGAGCATAAAGAAGGATATCATGCTCATGACAAAAGTTAATACTAATGTAGTTGATATGACTTTTGTGACCGTCTAGAATTAACAAAACAGGATGTATAGGCGGGATAGAACTAACAAAATGCTCAATATATTTTTGAAATAGGCTTTCCCGCATATATCCTGTTTCAGTAAATCCTATGACAGAACCCGCAGGTGCACTGTTTAGAAGACCCGAAATCGTTCGCTTTCCTTTAAAAATAAGTAATGGTGGGATGTATGTCTCTGCGGCTGATATAGTTGGGCATACTGAAATATGTTCATGAGAGCTGCTGTATGAAACCTGATGTACTTAGCATGCTTCTTTTTTTTGCTATAACTTTTTGAAGCCTAGGTTCGATCATGCTCCTTTTTTTTGCTATAACTTTTTGGAGCCTAGGTTCGATGATAAAGTCGGTTTCGTCCTAAAAAAAAAAAGGCCGAAATACAAAATAATTTAAAAAAAAAAAAAAAAAAGCAAAAAAAAAAAAAAAAAAAAAAAAAAAAAAAAAAAAAAAAAAAGGGAAAAAAAAAAAAAAAAAAAAAAAAAAAAAAAAAAAAAAGGAAAGAAAAAGAAAGGTAAAAAAGAAAGAGAAAGAGAACAAGCTATGCAAACAAACCCACATGCAACATCAATAATTGCTGAAAAATTGTAATACAACACTCTACACGTAGTAAGGGCAATACATACCAAAAAATAAAGCAAAAAAAAAAAAAAAAGAGAAAGAGAGATAACAACAAACATATCTGTATCTTTTGACACAAAAATAAATCAAAAAAAAAAAAAAAAAAGAAAGAGAGCAGTAAGTCTAACAGTAAGAAAACAGAATAATAACAATAATACAAGTGCAAAATCAGACTGCACAACCCAACCTCGACATTCTAGGCAGTGCTAATCTGAAACCACAGAGCTGCCTAACCAAAGTCTGAAGCTCTCACCTGATTCTGCCACTTTAACAGCCGGCTTGCTTCGGCAAGCAGAAAACTACCGGCTAATAATTATATTGTCAATACTCAATGCTTATCTAATTTCTATCTGGCCTGATATGGCTAGTGGTCCTGGCCGATCAAAATTTTTCGACCGGCTAAGCCGATAGAATTTTATCGGCCTAGTCGGCTTAGCTGAAAAATTTTGTTTGATTTGGTAGAATGATATATGAATAAATTACTGCGAGCTTGACTACGTAGTTCAGACCAAAGTAATGTTAATTGACAAATTTACAGTACTGTATTTGTGAACTTATTATTAATATTAATATTACGATTGTTGCTAAAAAAAATTGGCTGTTGAGCTACCAAGAACTGTAAGATATAAGTAAAGTTTTTCGGGCAGATATAGTATAATACTAACTAATCGATGTAAGAAATGCTGGTAGTGCTCAATTTGAGGAAGCTATCTCCTTACAAAATCGACCAGCCGATTTTGTAAAAAATCGACCGGCTGGGTCGAAAAATCGGCTTGGCCGATTTTTTTGGTCATCGACCAGGATCACTAGATATGGCGACTTCTAGCACAATTACTATTGCTAATTTTCAGAAAATCACCATTTTGGTGCCTATTACTCCCACTCATGTATATTTGTTAACATATTTGTTTACTTAATAAAATTATATCCCAGCTCTAAACATGGCTAGCATGGCCCAGTTAAATTAATATATGCAATTGTTTTTCGTATTTGTTGACTAAGAAGTCAACGATTCGAAAAATATGACAAAGCACCAATTCAGATCCAGCCACTGTATACTAGTATGTACACATGATACACAATAATAACCAATTACACAAGGTCATACAGACACAAGCCACTTAAAATTTACATAAATAATTCTGCTGCAGACAACCAACTTTTTCCCCAATCATAACCAAGTGACAAGTTTTCTGTCCCACCCATCCCTTCACAAACAGTACCACCTGATTCTGCCACTTTAACAGCCGGCTTGCTTCGGCAAGTAGGAAACCACTGGCTGATAATCATGTTGTCAATGCTCAATGCTTATCTAATTCCTATCTGGCCTGATATGGTGACTCCTAGCACAATTACTATTGCTAATTTTCAGGAAATCACCATTTCGGTGCCTATTACTCCCACTCATATATATTCGTTAACATATTTGTTTACTTAATAAAATTATATCCCGGCTCTAAACATAGCCGGCATGGCTCAGTTAAATTAGTGTGTGCAATTGTTTTTCATTTTAGTTTTTGTCATATAATTAATAGTTATTGAAAATGAAGTGTCTAATAACTGAGTTATTTGCTATATACTATTTGATTAGTTAATTTAAGCACTAAAAGTGTTTAAAATTCAACCAGTCAAACCATATAGCAAATAATGATAAAGTACAATAATGTTCTAATACTTGTAAAGTGTGATAGCACTTTACTAGAATTAAAATACTATTGTACTATAGTTAGATTATGCAAATTAATTTAGTTAATTCTCATCATATAAAACAAACAAATAGAACTTGGCTAGCTGACAAAAAATATTATATTTAAAAAATTTTTTAATATAAAAATTTTTATAAATTTTTTTTATACAAGAATAAAAAAAATTTTATATAGAAAAAAATTTTAACTTCTCTAAAAAAGTGATACAGCCAGGAGATGAGAATCAATTTTATTAGTTTGCATAGCTTTACAAGTACTTTGTGCTTGAATAATTAGATTATTTGGCATTTATATTTATTAGATTTTATATATTAACTATTGATCGGTTTGAAATTTTATCATTTTTATGCATATAAGTTATACACATTATTTGAATATATTTTAAATCTGATACAAATTTAAAAATATATTCAGATAATGTATTCAACTTATATGTATAAAATAATAAAATTCAAATGTCAAATAATAGTTTGTAAATGCAAAATCTAATACATAGAAAATGCTATATAATTATATTTAATTCTTTTGTCTAATATGATATTGAGTAGAGATTTATACAAACTTTTTCCAATAATCTTCTGATCAACAACACCAAAAAACTAAACTATAGAAAAATGTTATAGAAGAGATCAAAGTACTTAATAAACTTAGTTCTATGCAAGTAGGTGTATTGTCAACAAGTACTAAAAGTATAAAACTAAGGTACAGACTTCTTTGGATAGTTTTTGTAAAGATTAAACTTTTTTCCAAATAGACTTCTCTATTATATTTAATATCCAAACTAGAAGAATATTCTGAGAACACAGAATAACTAGATTGATACTAAGAATATTAAAAACTTAGATTATCATTATACAACCATAAAACTTATAAGGAACAACCACAAAAAAGCTTTGTTGACCCACTACTTTTTTTTAAGAAATTTTGTCAAAAAGTAGGCATCCTAGTTTATCCCTTCCAAAAGATCGATATATAAATTCACCAAAACAGTCTATATTGTTAATTTTTCAATATGGACATTTCATTATTGTTTATTTTTAGTAAACTTGTAAAAAAATATGCGAGTGATTATCTAAAGTCTTTAATATTATTTGAAGTTAATAGATATATTACAAAATTTTTACAAAAGTATCAGGATAATAGTGAGTTTATATCTTGAAAAAAATCAATAGTACTTGTTTTATCAACAAATATTTTCAACACAATTTTTTTTGATATAAAGTTGAACTTCATACTTTTATAACTTTACTAATTTTTAATAAAATATAGGAACAAATGAGCCTTAGTTTTCTGTATCATGCAAAAAATCAACCATTAATATGGCTCTTAAAGAGGATAATAAAGTTGATTGTGAAATTGCATATATAGATGAAATTTTTGACTTACCTCAAGTATAAATAAATACAATTTTTCATAAGTTCTATAATCAAATTGTTTTTATTTAGTAGTATAGTATATAAAGTATTCTAATATTCCACATTTTGTTTTCTTTCTAGTAAATAGCAATTACTAGTAAATTGTAAGCTAGCTACAACTTTTGGTTGGGTCTGCCAGCATTTTTTGTATCACGTCTATGCAAGATTTCATATTAGTATAATTAATTAACATTGGTACAAAGATTAAGTTTACAATAGTGATATTAAGAATAAAAGTTTTATTTAGTTAGAGATTTTTGATAATGATAGCTATGATCTTTCTATGATGTGGATATCTATATCTAGTGTCAAGGTTCATAAATTCACATATAAGAAAATAGAAATAGCACAGTTCTGCATAAGAGAAAAGCAATGTTATACAAAAGTTTTTGAACTTGCCAAAGTCCTAGTAAACAAAGCTGTTGAATTAGAATTAGATGATAAGTTAATTGCATTGTTTGAAAACTTCCAAATGAATGAAATTATACTAATTTTTCATTAGCAACATCAAATAATAGTAAAACAGAAATGGAAAATATACAATGTTTAGGTTCTAATAATTCTTTAGATGTTAATAATCCGGTAGCTAAAGCAAG